AACATTGTTCTTTCAAACAAACACACATGCAAAGTTTCAACACCCGACTATACACATTTTCACAAATGTTCACGTATACAACATGTACACAAGTTCACAAGAGTAACTAAAACATTTTTCTTCCAAACTGTTTTACTTTGAAGCACTTAAAAAACAAAATGTTTCGAATTAAAACACCGGAATATAAAAGTGTTCATATAAAGGACACTTGTGTATGCTGTCTACGGTGTGCACTTCTAATTTATTAGAAAAATGCTTAAACACATCATTATTGTCAGCAAGAATACTGTGCATGTAGCGATAAGTTTATTGATTTTAGTATTTTCAATAATAAACAACTTTATATAGTTTTGAGCTGTACATACCATATACCTGTCACAAGATGGAATTAAACATTCACGGTGTTGTTATCATTGCTCGAGTTAGTATGTTGGATGATGCAGCGCTTGACAGATGTTAATTCCCTTTGATGTAATCCTTAGATTCATTTACTTCATAGCTATTATTGTATTGGCGTAATCTCAATGTTGAATTCCATCTAATGTGGTGATTACCACTCACCGAACTCCTCTCCAATAATACATAACCATTTAACTGTTATTAGAAATCTCATTAATCCAATAAAAACAATATGAAAAGCAATATTGAACAATAATTTAGTTTGCCGATCCTTGCAAACATTTTGAGATCCTAAATAAACCTGAATGATATTTTTACTCCGTTACGAAATGTTTGAAAAATGTAATTAATAGAGCCAGCATCAGCAGCTGAGTTCTGCATTGCCATTTGCATCGGCCTCCATTGATTTCATTATGTGCGTGTTGCCATGAAAACTGATTAAACGTTTACACGACAGATAATTCCATACTGTATAACTTCCTTTCCGTCATCCCTCAGAGCATGATTTACCAAATTAATTATAGAAATGTTAGACAGAATTTATCAGGAAAATTGTGTGGTCATAATTTTGTTTTCGCACTACATGTGCGTTACTTACAACAATATAATACAATAATATTTCACATCACATATTGCTTGAAACAATAATCATAATTAACTAAACATTATTCATGGGATTTTGATAATATTATTCTTTTCAGATTTTAAGGGACACTCTTAGAGCAGACGAGATGATATTACTAATATTATTGTTGGTTCAGTGTCCTCGTTCTCTATTCCAGACAAACTCTGGTTAGGTAAATATAGTTTTATAATACCACACTTTTTGTTAGGGGGGGTGAAAAATAAGTAATCAAATTATTTGACGGATAGAAAATTGAGAATAATAATTTGTTACCATGTTATCAGTGGACATACATTTTAAAATGCGTTTACAAGCATTGCCAATATTCAGATTGTGTTTTCAAAATGTCGTGGTGATAAACACTTTTTTGATACATATTTCTGGTGGAAATACTCAAAATGAGTGTCCAGTAAAATCACTTTTCAAAGAGTTGTGATAGTAAAAACTTTTCAATATATGTACTTGGTGGAAACACTTTTCAAAATGTGTTATGTACAAAAACATCCCTAAAATGGAAGTTTTCATCATATGCACATTTCGTAATTATGCAGATTATAAACACTGTTTTTAAAGTGGGGACAAGCTTATAAACACTTTAATTTTTGTACCACAAAACAGTAAAAGTGTTTAAAATAACTCATTTGCGATTTTAAGAAAAAAACTTTAAGTGATTTAAAAAGCGAGGGAATGTGTCGTATTTTAAAACACTCAGATTTACAGACTTGTAGAATGTAGCAGAAAAAAGAAATATTGCCTACACCTTAGACATCCATTGTTTTTTAATCTGTTTTCGGTAGTTTATTTGTGTGGAATTTAATTAATTGTAGCAACCCTAAATGAAAACTTGAGTGAAATCCCAATTTGCACTTCAATTTGTAGACCTAACATTTTATAATCATTTTTGGTGCTGAACCAAAAAAGCGTTTTACCCCCAATTTGTATAATTTTATCAAAATCGTGTATAATCGTTTTTGTCTAT